TTGTGTGTGTGTGTGGCCAGCTCAGCCCACCAGGGGGCGGGGCTGGCTGGCATGTGGTGCTGGGGATCGAACCGCGGTCCCTGTGCTTTGCCAAGCTTGTTTCAAGTAGGTGCTTTAGACCACTGAGCCATCTCTCCAGCCCCGAGCATGAGCTCTTGAGTTTGGTTCCCACTACCAAAAACAACACAAAAAGTAATCATTGTTTTTCATACTAATTCAGGTTAGACACCCAACTACCAAACAAGGATAATATATGAAAAATACTGTCTTGTCAGTTGTGAAGAAAATGAAAGTTTAAGTATTCTGACACCATTTTTAACCTACATATTAGCTGTGATTCCTTTTGCAAATAATGGTGTTCCTTGTGATGTATTGAGGTTCAGATTCTCACTTGGCATTATGTATGCAGAGCCGAAGTGAGTATCTCTTCTCAGTCTGTGCCAAGAAATTACCAGAAACCCGTATGAAGATTTAAAACAGTAGTGAAAACAAGAGCCTAAATATGTGGCCGGCCAGATACCTCAGCAGATTAAAGCGCCTGTGTAAGCAGATGCAGGGCCCGGGGTTCAGTCCCAGGCTTGCTGTGCCGGTCCCACCCCTGGGGCGCGCTGAGACAACAACAGAGACTAGGCATGATGGTGGTGGCGTGTGCCTGTAATCCCAGTGATTGGGAGGCTGAACACAGGAGGATCACTACGAGTCTGATCTGTGTAGTGAGACCTGTAGACCCTATAACAAGTACATAAAATAAAAAATAACATATTCATCATGTGGGGACCCTGTTAGCTTACCTCGCAAATTCTGGCATTTGCAAGTTTTTTTCTGAGTTCACCTCAGATTTCTCAGGGCTGTTTTCTTCACTAAAGCTTATAGTTCCTCATTCACCTATTTATTAGCTTAGTAAATGTTTGAGTTACTGCTGTGTATCAGTAGCTAAAGTCGCAAAAGTGATTCGTAGGTAATCATAATCCTTTTACTTCTTACCAGTACTGCTTAACTTGTGTTTTGTATTGAGTTAAGATAAATGGAAGTGTGATTCAGAGAAGGAAAGAAAAGCCTGCTGAATTGCAGATTTCAAAAAGAAGAAATTGTAAACTGAAAGCAGTATTATATGTAATACATACCTTCTGCAAATGTTTTTAAAATATTTAATAATTATTTGAAAATATTTATTATTGTCTTAGTTACTCTTCTCTCGTTGCTGGGACAAATACCCGACACTCAAAATGAAGGAAGGAAAGGTTTATTTAGCTCACAGTTACTGGAGGGTTCAGTCTATACTCAGCTGGGTCCATCGCAGAGCAGCACAGAGCAGAAAGCAACCTTTCATGGCGGCGGTAAAGAGCAAGAACAAGGGAGAAGTAGCAGCAGCTCAAGCAGCTGGCTTCTCTTCCCACCTTACGTTGTAATGCAAATTGCCTGCCCCAAGGTAGGGGAAGTACTCACACCTATGGGTAATCCCAGCTGTACTAAAACCCATAATCCCAGCCTTGGATCACACATAATTCCAGTGGATCATGAGTTAACACAAATTCTAGAAGTCCTCACCCCATGACTGCATGAGGCTTTGGGGGGACAACTAGACACAAACCATAACAATTATATTATTAAATATTTAAATAGAAAGAGTGTAGTAAAAAGAGTGTATAAATATTTACTATTGCCAAGTGTGTTTTTTAGAGCTGAGGCTATGTAGCGACAAGATAGAGATCTTGCCTAGCATGCATGAAGCCCTGAGTTTGATTCCCAGCACCACAAAAATGAGTGAATAAATAATCAGAAAAAAATGTTTCAAGTACTTGGCTGTATTATACACACATACATGCGTACACACATAGGCGCCATGATAAAAACTGCAGTGTTTAAATTAAAAAACTGACTGCAGTGTAGAACGCATTGCCATTACTCTCCTCAAGCACCACGTGCCTGGCCCACACGCATCCCCTTGCTCTTGTCTCTCTCTCTCTCTCTCTCTCTCTCTCTCTCTCTCTCTCCCTCCCTCCCTCCCTCCCTTCTTCCCTTCCTCCCTTCCTTCCTTCCTTTCTTTTGTTCATTCATTTGTTCGTTCTTTCTTTCCTTCTTTCTTATTCTTTCTTTAAATTTTTCTGCCACTTTCTTAAGTGGCCCTGGAAATCCTCTTTTGTGTCTTCAGCTGTTGTGGCTGGCCACATTGATGATGAGCAGAAGCAATTACAGAAATCTGTGTTAACTAGAGACATTCCAGCGTGTCCTCCTTCACCAGAGCTGGCTCTGTGTGGCCTCTGGCTCCTTTCCAGTGGTCAAATGGCAGTAAAATGCAAAGGTTTTATTATTTTTCAAAATATTTATAACTTCCATAATGATTTATATGTTATGTTTAAAATTCTCACTATGATGTTTTGATGTTGGAAGTTGCTCATCCTCTAGAATTCTAATATCTAATTTAGGTTAATTTTAGTGGGCATTATTTTAGTAATAAGGAATCAGACATTAAATATAGATTGAATTGCTGAAAACTGTTCCTGTAACTCTCAGGCAGGGAGTCCTTGGTCAGTTAGCCCACCTCTGTCCATGTTCATGTATGTACTCACGTCTTTTTTAAGTCATAAATTTGCCTTTGTGTTAATTTTCGTAATAACATATTTAAGAATAATATAGTAAGTCTCAGAAAGCAGCTTTTTGTTTTTGTTTTGTTGTCATTTCAGAAAACAGAAAATCCTGATGAACTGGCAGAACTTATAAATATGAATCTTGCACAACTTTGCTCACTTTTGATGGCTTTATGGGGGCAGTTTCTAGAAGTTATAACACTACATGAAGAACTCAGAATATTATTAGCACAGGAGCACCATACCTTAAGGGTAAGTTAAAGAAAAGTGGTGTTAGAACATTTTAATGACTAATATTTATCTTTGGAAATTTCCCTTTTAAATTACTTTTATTACTACATGTTTACAGACTTATGGGGAATTGGTTCAGGTGCATGAGCAAGCCTGGTTTTTATCTAATGAAGCTAAGTCAGAAAGGCAGTATTTGTTGTTGTGTCACTGTCTACCTCCAGAGTTAATAGCGATGTCTCGTCCCAACCCCTGCTAGCAAGGAAAACTGCCTGCAGTAAACAAAATATGAAAAAAGAAATGATGTGAGATCGTTCCTTGAACCCAGAAACAGAAATTATAGCCCCTGTTAGGCCTCATGAGGAGATGAGTAACTGGAGGCCAGGCGAAATGGCTGTAGTTTCTCTCCTCCTTTTTTCCTTCTTCCATTCTCTCTCCTTTCCTCTTCTCATACAGGAATAGAATATCCTCGGCGGGGGTGGGAGGAGTCTAGAAGCATCTGTCTGCTGTGGCCCTATGAGGGAATGACACAGAAATTGTTGCTCAGTCTTAGTGTAGCATCTTAAGAGGCAGCACTCAGAAGCAGTCGCCGTCCTGTCTCTCTAGGATGGGTTCCTTTAGGTCTCACCGTGCATATGCACGCCAACCAATTGGCTGCATTGCTGCCACTTCACAGCACAGGGCTCGGTAGGGGCTAAGGTTCCCTCTGTTGGAGACTAGCTCCTGGAACAAACAATCGTGTAAGAAATAGATGTGACAACATGCACAGCTTCCTTGACCTACGGTTTGAGCAAAGGGCTCACTGCATTCGCGGGGCTCTAAAATGTGTGGTCTCTTGTCTATCAGCTTGGCTCTGGCAAGCTGCTCTGTTCCCAGAGAAGCTGAGAAGGCTTAGCGTTACCTAGGGCAAATGTTGGGCACATTCTGTAGATAACCTTAAGACATAAATACAGTGGCTAACCCAGCAGCTCATCCTGCTGACCCCAGATTTCTTTTCATTTTTATCTTCCCTCTATCGTCTTCCCCTCTGCGAGAGCTGGACCTCGCACCTTCAGCAGAGTAGAAACCAAGAGGTGAACTGAATCCTGTAGTCAGTGCTACGGAGCACAATTTTGAGATGAAGGAAGCTGAGCTAAAGATCAGATTTGTGGGGAGCTAAGATGGCAAAGATAGATTCTAGGTCGAGCTTCTGGGACTCTCACCCTACTCAAGATGCCACATTAGTGCGCATTCTACCTTACAAAGCGGTGAAGAATGGGTGATTAAGGTAACTGCTGTTACCCTAAAATGTGCTGTGTCCCCTGGACACTACAAGCCGTGCCCTCGCCAAGTGCATCACAACAGCCAGCAAAGGGAGTGCAGCAGCTGGGCATTCTGGCTCCCACCGCAGTGCCTGGGGAGCTTGACTGTCCAGGCTCGGGGGTACTCACAGGGTGCATTGCTAAGCCCAGGGAACCGAAGCAGGCTGGGGCACGGATGTGCCGCAGCACAGTGCGTGCAGTGTCTGATGATTTGTTCAGAGGCAGTGCAGCAGGCCACAGCACAAAGTAAGCCCCTGGGATAAATTCTCTCCATACTGATGCAAAAGCAAACGGTGAAGCAGAGAGACGCTGACCTGCAGGTCAGTGCTTGGAAAGACAGTTGAATAAACTTAAGCTTAGTTCAACTTCTCATTTGGTGCCAAAATTCCGGCCCAGGTGTGGTGCGTGGAAGGCTGAGGCAGGAAGCTTACAAGAGTTAGCTTATTTAAATCGCAAAACCCATTAAGTAGACACTGTACCCTTCCCACTTAACAAAAAAATAAGAGACAGAGAAGGAGCAGTGACTTGGCCACCGCTCCTGGCTGGTGAGTGGCGGGACCTAATGCCTCCACGGTCCATCTGTTTTCTGTGCATTTGTAGAATATCAAAACCAAGAAAATTCAGACTTAATTTGCAGCAAAGTGGAGGGAACTGGAGGATATTACGTTAAGAAAAAAAAGCCAGTCACAGGGGCCCGGGAGATGGCTCAGTGGAATAAGCGCTTCCCTGGCAAGCGCAAGGGCCTGAGTTCAGTCCCAGGTTCCACAAAAAAAGAAAAAAAGCCAGGCACAGAAAGACAGCTCCACATGTTCACTCGTATATGTGGAAGTTGTTTTTTTAAAAAAGCTGTTTACAGAAGGTAATAGAGATTATGTAGAGGGTGAGAGGGCGGCTATGACGTGGGTTTGCTTGGTGTCTGCTCTCTGCATACATGCATTGAATAGCGCACTGATCTCCTTAAACAGACATAACTAATACGTGTGTGAAGACCCTTGACCCTGCAAATAAAAAATAAAGGGACCAGAAGCATAGCTCAGTAGTAGAGTTCTTGCCTACTGTGACCGTGATCCTGGCTGTAATCTCCAGCACAGCAAAAATTAAAGTTAAAAATAGAAAGATGATAGTTATAACCAGGAAAAATAAATCAAGAGTTCCAGGGCCAGGGAGGTAGCTCAGTGGCTTAAGCGCCTTCCTGGCAAGGGTCAGGGTCTGAGTTCAATCCCTGGAACTGTAAAAAAAAAAAAAACCAGCTTGTAACATGCCATTCATTGTGGGACAAGCTTGCTCTGCTATTCACTTTTGCAGGTGAATTTAAAGAAAATATACCACTTTCCTTTATTCTCTGAAATAAGTCATTTAAAACATGCTATGGGAGAGTAAAAGGCCCCTGGGGCCTAGCTAGGAATCAGGCATACCCCGGGGCAGCTGAGGCGGAAGTGCCGGTCCTAGGAGCTGGTCTCTCAGGAATGTTCCCTAGACAGATGTTTTGGAAGGATGATCTTTTTCTTGTCATGTTTAAAATCTGCCTAACAAATTATCTACCTTTGCTTGTAGTCTTCAGCAGCATTAGCGTGTTCCCAGTGCAGGAGAGCCATTACGAGCATCTGCCAAGTTCCAAGACACTTTCATCATCCCATGTAAGCGGTCACTGCTGGTTTTCCCTTCCCTCAGCTTTCGGCAGTGTGGCTGTGACCTTATTCCCTGTGGGATTTGCTAAGAGTCTTGGAGCTGGCGCTTGATAATTTCACCAATGTGAAAGAAGTTTTCAGTTTTTATATCATCAGATATTTTTCTGCCCATTTCTTTTTCCTTTTCCTCTGGTACTTTAATATGGATCATTTGATATTTTTTGTTCTTAAGCAGTTTTTCTCTGTACTCTTCAGACTAAGTAAATTGTTACTTTGTCTTCAAATTCATTAATTCTTCTTTGTAATGTCTAATCTTTTGATCTCAGTAAAATTTTATTTCAGCTGTTATACTATGCACGCCTAAAACTCTTCCTTGGTTTTACTAGGTTTTCTTTTTATTGTAACCCTCGTTGCGTGTTTGTGCTGAGAGGCCCCATCAGCTCATTCATCGCGATCATCTTTAAATCACTAAGCAGCCTGTTCTCGTTACGTAAAGAGCTTCCTGGAGCTCGGATTTCCTGTCCAGCATGTAGGAGACTTGACAGTCATGCCCCATCCTAACCAGAAGGAAAGAGCAGACAGACCGAAAGTCAGTGGCTGCTCCTGCACATGTTTATAGTTCTGTGTCTTCTGTGTCTCAGCTCGCTTGTCCTGGTTCTGTGAGGCAGGCTTCATAGTGATGCCCACGGTCTCAGCGCCAGGCCCAGTGTCTTCCTGCTTCTGGCTCACAAGCAGCTGGGCCTGCACGTGCAGCCGCTGCACTTGATAGCATCTGGGTTTCTCTGTGTCTTTAGAGGAAAGAGCAGTATGCCAATTTCTCTGCTGTGGCCTAACAGGAAGTTAAAATAGAAATTTTCAACCATGGCTGTTGGCTAGAATCTTCTGGGATCTTCAAAATTACCAATGGTGGCATGAGGGCCAGGCCTGATAGTTTTTCTTACTAGCTCTGTGTAATTAGTAGGGCTGGGCTGTTGTGAATAAGACCATTGTGCTAGAAAGAGTGGGAACTGAAACTGGCCTTTCCTCTGGATGCCAGATGCATCGAACTGTGGAAAGAACACTCCTGAGATCTAGGCTTAAAGGCTGCCATGGAGATTAGCAGGACCCTGGGTTATAATGTGTAGCCATTGCTTCCATTGAGGAGGCTAGTGGATTGTCGAATTTTTACTAGATATACTGAGATTTAAAGATTGTAAGGGCTGAGGAGATAGCTCAGTAGAATAAATGTTTGCCTGGCAAGCACAGGGTCCTGAGTTCAATCCCTGGTAGCACAAAAAAAAAAAAAAAAAAAAAAAAAAACATAAAAATAAAGATTGTACAAAAAATGTTTTCGTTAGTGTGGATGTAGACCAGCAAGATAGCTCAGTGGTCTGAGCGCCTGCCTAAAAAGCACAAGGACCTGGGTTCGGTCCCCAGTGCCACATATCATGCTGGCCCCATAGCCCTGGGTACACTGTGCCAGCCACCAAAATCAGGCATAGTGGCGCACACCTGTAATCCCAGCACTGGGGAGGTTGACACAGGTGCATTACTGCAAGTCTGAGCTGTATAGCGAGACCCTATACCAAATCAGTGTAAATAAATAAAAGACTTTTTAAAAAATACTATGGATGGAATTTATGCCCTAGAAGAAGGGAAGAGAAATGATTTGTACTGCCATTTTTCCCCTTAAAGAACCTCTGGTATGTTATCAAAACCTGGAAGTTTGCCTGCTTACGCAGGTATAATCAACCCTGAAACTACTTGACCTGATATTCTTTCAGTGCAGCTATATGTAGGAATCTTTCTAAATAAAGTAGTTTCTTTCTGAGAACATCCTGCTTGTATATATTACTTACTTTATGTTTTGCAGGGCAGGATTTAGGCAGACTTCCACTTTTATTGTAGTTATAAGCATTAAAATGTATGAGTGTAAAAATACAAAACATCCAGCATTTTCACTAACTTAAGTCTACCCAAAGTGAACTATTTCAATAATACGTTTTTAAAGGGTTTTTCTTCTTAAAGTATTTTAAGTAGGAACTTTTAGTGTGATTCGTGCATTTTTGAGTAGACTGTACTAAACATAATTTAGCCCTTTCATAGTAATTTTCATTGTAAATTTCATGTAATGTGCTCAACTTTAATATATTGGCATCTTTTGCTGCATAGAAATTTGGCATATTGGATTCTACAGTAAAACATTACAAGTTATGTTAATTTTTAATTTGCATTCCTTTTGTAGGGATATTCTAGGATTTTTTTTTTTTTTTTAATGTATTTAGTACAGGGCCTACAGTGTCTCACTACACAGATAGGACTTGTAGTGATCCTCATGTTTTCATCCTCCCAAGCGCTGGGATTCGGCACGCCCTGGGGGCCAAGCTGGCATGGCATGCCAGGGATCAGACCCCAGTCCCTGCGCCTGCCTAAGCAGGGGCTTTAGTCTGCTGAGCTATCTGTCTGGCTCTATTGTAGGATTTTTTTAAAGAGGGTTCTTCTTTCATACCAAGTTCTCACAAGTTCTTTCTTCTAACTGCCTATATATGATTGCCTCCATAATTTTTCACTTTTTCTTTTTAATTTTCTCTTTTAAAAGACTTGAAGAATGAGAAATAAATTAATATAAACTAGTTATAATTGTGTCTAATTCTAAGCATAGTTAGCTTAGTGTTATAAAAGAGCATTATGGTACCCTGCTGTGAGTATAACTGATGAAGAACAGCATTTAGTAAACATTCGTAAAGTATCATAATCTCATCAATCTGTAAATTGACCCTGTATTCAAGATTAGATTCTAATCTGCACAAGCAGGTTAGAGTTGTGTTTTAGTACACGCCCTATTATTGGCATTTCACCCATGTATTAGAGCATGGATAAAGGAACATTCACCTGTGTGTAGCACCATTTTGAATGCTCAATATTTTGTCTGTTGCTCGTCACTAAATTTTTAATAGTTGATTTTGCTAAGTGGATATGTTTAAAAAATTCAAGTACAAACAAGACTCATTTCCATAAGCATATCAGTCAGCACTGTGTATTCCTCATATCTAAGTTTAAATTTGCATACGTGACTTTCTTTCGCTTCAAGTTGAGCTGTAGTGCCGTCAGATGGCCGTCATGCCTTAGTGAGCCACGCAGTACAGTTGATACTCGTCTGCATTGCATCTCATCCTAGCATAGTAATCACTGTGAGAAAATGTAGACAGAGAGACTGCGTATGAATGCGTACAAGAAAGGCACGACTGCTCGCACTGCAGTGCTCGTGCAAGGCGAAGCACCGAGCAGCTCAGAGCGCGAGGCCTGGCGTCGCTCATGGCCTTGAGTCTCGGCTCACTGCTCGCTAGCTGTGCTATCATAGTCACAGCATCCTTTGTGGGTTAAGTCAGAGAAAATAAAATGCTCAGCATAATGGCTAATAGGCAGGAGTCTGTGAAGACGTGACTGCCGTGCAGGAGTTAGGGGAGATAGGGAGAGAAGGAAGAGCCGGCACCGATGGCTGCCACGGCCAGATGCAGCCTCAGGAATCCATGTACAGATCCTGGGACAGCATCCCTGACAGGCAGGCCATCGTTCTTCCAGCTTAGAGCTGGAGAGGGTTCCTGGCAGTTGTATAACTCTTGAAAGTAAAGGCATGCACTGCGTCCTCTGCCTCAGTGCGTCCTCTCCCCGCCCCCTTGCTGGCGTGTGCTTTAGAATCAGGCTCATCCGCTTAGAGAAAAAAGCTTAGTAAGCCATGTATTTGTTTGGTCAGATCTTGATAAGGAGTAAAATAAATTCCTAATTGATCATACATTTAAAACTGAAGGATCCTACACCATGGTTCCCTCTGGGAAAGAATCCTCAATGTATATTTTCATTCTCTGATTTAAACCATAAAGAAAGCTGCAACTAAGATAACACAGCTTATAAGTGGTGAGCTTAGGACTCAAATAAATACTTGAGAAATAACAGGCCTTGTGCTCCGAGCTGCTCACCTTTTACCTTTCGCCTGAGGACTGTACTGTGAGTAACATTGTGTAATAGAATGCAGTGTAGCCCTCAATGTTGTGTTGCAAGGTGATGTAAATGATTTATTTCTCCTCAACCCCTAAAAGGTATCTTGAATCTCTAGTCTATTGCTTAAAGCTGCTTTGATGACTGACAGAGCCTTTCTATTCATATTTAAAGATGAAAAGATTAAAACAAATACAATGGAAGAAATACTGAACTAGATTTAATAGGAACTTACCAAGTACTTCTGTAACTTGCCAGTGTGCATGTTTTAGAAGATTCAAAAGTCATCAAAGTATAGGTAGTACTGAAGTACATTATACTTTAAGAAGGGCTACAGTTTACATTTATAATTACAGTAGAGCGAAATGTAGGGAATGCTATAATGCCAGCTGTAATGTATATAACCTTTGTAGACTGTAGACGGCTGTCACGCACATCGTCTTATTCTTCATAATAGCCCCACATGTAGGACAAATGTTATGTGTCACTTGAGGGTGAATCACCTGAGACCTGCAGGTCAGGTGCCCAAAGTTACAGTGCTAGGAAGGCAGTCGTGTAGTAGGCAGACGTAGTGCCTGGCACTTCACGGGAGAAAAACTAGCTTTGTGGAGGCAAGCTGCCTTCTGTTGCGTTCTCGTGTGCTGGACGCTGTTCCGCATACAGGTGATGGAGCAGCAGAGAAGACATAGAACCCCACCCTGGAGCAGTGGGGTTCCAAATTAAGGCCTGTTTCTCACTTCCACTTCTCCTGTTTCTTTTGCTTCATACAGTACAGAAGTGCTTTGCATTCAGACATCTGATCTGTGACAAAGGGGCCTAAAAACACACTAGAAAAAAGGTGGCCTCTTGAGTAAAGGGTGCTGGGAAAACTGGCTGTCCACGTGAGAAGACTGCATCTAGACCCATATCTCTCACCGGGCACTAGACCAAAACCAAAATACATCAAGTATCTAAATATGAAAACAGAAGCAATCTGCTAGAAGATAAAGTAGGTAAAATTCTTGAAGTCATAGACGTAGGCAGGGGCTTTCTGAATAGGGCCTAGTTACGTAAGAAGTAACATCGGAAATCAACAAATGGAACCATATCGAATTAAAATGCTTCTGGATAGCAAAGAAAACACAGTGAAGAGACAACCTACAGAACAGGAAAATTGTCACCTATGCTTCACACAAAGGACTGATATCTAGTAAAGTGGGGAGAGGAAAAATAATCATGATATATATATATATATATATATATATATATATATCATATAGATATAGATATGAGATAGGGCAAAGTAATTAGATTCCTCCCACAAATAAAAAACCCAATCAAAATATGGGCCATTGAAATGAATAGATACTTCTCAAAAGAAGAAATGCAAATAGCCAATAAATACATGAAAAAAATGTTCAACATCTCTGGCCACTAGAGAACTGCAAATTAAAACAACACCGAGATTCCATTTTACTTCAGAAAGAATGAATATCACCAAGAAATCAAGTGACAAGTGCTGGTGAGACTGGGGAAGAGACTCCCTGTGAGTTGTGAGTGGACCTGTAAACTCATGCCACCACTGTGGCGGTCAGGAGGGAGAGTCTCAGAAATTCCATTCAACTCCCCTGTTCCCCTACTAGTATGTTCCCAAAAGAATTAAGAGATAGTCTACTGCAGCGATAATATGCATACCCCATTCTTCACACCCGAGCCCACCAGCTAAGTCTTGAAAGCAGCCTATCTGTTCATAAATAGATGGACAGATGAGGAGTAGGCAGTACTTACACGCACTGGAGTACTGTTGTGCCATAAAGCAGAGTAAACTGGAGTCGTCTGCAGGAAAATGGATGCAATAGAGACTGAGAGTGAAGTGAGTCAGACACATAGGTTAAATGTCACATGGCTTCTCTTATGGGGCAGACCCAAAGTATAGATAATGAGAATACCAGCACATAGGACTTGTGCAGAAGAACGGGAGAAAGAGATGTAGGGGAGGTGGGAAGGGTGATTTGACAGAACTGAGATGTATGCGCTGCAGGCATGAGCTAATAGAAGTAAAGTTTATTTAAAATGTGGTGCATTGACAGCACTAAGGAGGGAGAGAATTGTAATTCTCACGCAGGTGGCTGTGCAGGCAGCTTCCCTCCCTGCATTTCTTCATCAGATTAATTTTTAAAATGTGCCTGCCATGTTACTAAGACAGTCTTGGAACTTTTTAGGTCCGCAGGTTCTCGGAGGCATTCTTTTGTTTTGAACATCCAAGAGAAGCCGCCATTGCCTATCAGGAGCTTCAGTGAGTACCTTATTCTAAAGTCACTTTCTTTCCTTCTCCATGTGACATCTCAGAGGCTGATACTGCCACCATAGGTGGTGATCAAACTAGAAGAAGTTGGAAGAGTTCGAAGTTCAGAAACCTACTTTATAGTCTAATGGGGTTTAACCTTAAGAATTGTTTCACTGGGGGCCAGGGAGGTGGCTCAGTAGAATAAGCGCTTGTCTGGCAAGCACAAGGGCCTGAGTTCAACCCCTGGTTCCACCAAAAAAAAAAGAATTGTTTCACAGAGGCTCCTTGCTGTACCCAGAGAACATAGTGCATGTGGTGGGACTGGAAGTTGGGGGAATGTGGGGAACCTGATGGGGGAGGCGCTCTGTGTTGTGTGTGCAGTCGTCAGGCCAGACAGCTAGGAGCTCTAGCTTTCATTACATGAAAGCTGTCCTTCTAAAAACGTCTGCAGGGGGCCTGCCTCTTAGCTCAGTTCTTTAAGTGGCTGCTTCAACAAAGCAGTCAGGCTCAGGTTGCTGTGGTTCGATCCCCACAACTCAAGCCAGCCAAACCTGCCCTGAAGGCATTTGAAGCAAAAAATAAATAAATAAATAAAATAAAAATAAAATGAAACCATCTGCAAACAATTGTAGGCATAGGGACTAAAGAAGGGTAAGTAAAATGAGAAGGGCAGGTGTTAGCTGTCCAGACTGGGGGTAGGTACATGGGTTCTTTTACTACTATTTTGTTTATTTGTTTGAAATTTTCCATAAGAAAAGGGGTTGTTTTTAAAAGTTTGCTTTAGAAAGTTACATGCCTGTTCTAAGTAGCTATTTTGTCCATGTGTGTTATGTAAAGAAACTACAGGTCAGGCATGGTGGCACGCCTCTAGTCCCAGCACTGGGAGGCTGAAGCAGGAGGATTACTGTGAGTTTGGGGCCAGCCTGGGCTACAAAGTGAGTTCCAGAACAGGCTGAGATATGTAGCAAGACCCTGTCTCAAAAAGTTCAATAAAGAGGCTGCTGCAATAGAAAAGTGGGGAGAGGAAAAATAATCATGATATATATATATATATATATATATATATATATAGTTGTTACAGGGTTTCACCACATAGCTCAGACTCACGGCAATCCTCACGCTTTCAGCCTCTCCAAGGCTGGGATTACAGGTGTGTGCCACCACACCTGGACTCTAGGGAGATTTGCTGAGTCTTGACAGACAGTTTGTATAAGGCTAGGAGTTGAATCCAAGTGTCCCAACTTTGCCAGCCTAAGACAACACTGAGGCATGGCGGGCCCTTTCCCTCAGCTGCAGGAGGGGCGAGTAAGAAGGGCGGACTTTGGGTCGGCCTGCCCTGGGGCAGGGCTGGCGCTGCATGTGGTGCCGAGGATCGAACCTCCGTCCCAGTGCTTCGCCTGAGCTTGCCTACGCAGGCGCTGTAGTCCACTGAGCTGTCTCATCGGCCCCGCATGTACTTTATTCCCCAATGTTATTACATAATGATTAGGCCTTTGGGGGTTTAGTATTTCTCATACATTATTCACAGCAAATGTGGAGGCTTAGTAAGTATGGATACTCGAAAGAACATAAGAAAATGTGATAGACATAGTAGAAATTAAGTAATTTGTGAACATGATTTTATGTCAGTACTTTATTTTCAACAAATGGTGATTTTCATTTTACTAGTTTTTATCTGTGACTAAAAAATTCTTTCACCGGACGTGGTAGCACATGCCTATCCCAGCTGTTAGGAGGTTGCTGCAAGTTTGAGGCCATCCTAGATAGCTAAACCCTGTCTCAAAAAGACAAAAGTAAAAAATGTATTTGACAAAGAGGTTATGTATTGATGAAAGATGACAGGAATGTTAGGGTAAGACATAGGTGGGGTTGGGTGCAATATTCTTATTCTAATCTGATTTACAAAACCTTTCAGTGCTCAGAGTCATCTACAGATGTGCACCGCTATCAAGAACACTTCCTTCTGCAGTTCTCTCCCACCCCTGCCCATCGAGTGCAGTGAACTAGATGGAGATCTCAATTCACTGCCCATAATCTTTGAAGATAGGTATTTAGATTCAGTTATTGAAGGTAAGTATAATCTAGAATATATAAGCTACACCTATAATTTTCAGTATGTTCTAACACACATACAA